AACGTATCTGAACAAAGCCATCCCGGACACAAAGCTCACGGTACGTCGCTATGCGGATGCCAAGTTCACATATCTCTCGTATTGCCTGAAGGTGAAGGAAATGGATGATGAGGAGCATGGCTTTGCTGCCCTACAGGAGCCACTTTATCGCGTGGAAACTGGCAACTATGAGTACAGATTAATTCTGAGATGTCGACAGGATGCACGCAGCAAGTTCGCCAAACTCCGCACGGATGTTCTCGAGAAGATGGAGCTGCTGGAATGCAAACATGCCATGGATCTGAACAAGCAGCTGAGGAGTCTGTTGGAAAGTTTGGCGGAACTCCACCGGAGTTTAGTGGACCGTCTGGACTCGCTGCCGCCGCTCTTTCCCATCGAAGTGGACTTCAAGGAGACGGACTTCCAGTACAAGTCGAGTACTCTGAAGCCGCAGGAGCTGGACGACGATGAAATCGAGGCCAACAACCATCCCAATTCCACACCTTCTCAAGTCGATTGCGGATTTGAGGCTGTAGAGCAGCCGGCGGCCATTATTAACGTGGAGGTCAAGGCATCCGTGGATTCAGCTGCTTCCCAATCCACCAGTGAGAACGATACGCTGCTCAAGGAACTGGGTCTGTACGATGTGGACCTGCTGTCCAATCCGCAGACCATTAGCAACCAAAAGGACTCCATTGCGGCCCAAAACGATGGATACGACTTCGACCTGTTCTTGAACCAGGCGACTGCAGCCACCACCAGCTTGGAGCGGGATCTTATGTCCTCGAATGCGGAGGAAATGGATCTACTCTTGCAATAAGCTTTACTAGTACAAATGTTAACAAATGCATTAGATAAATATTTAATATTCAGTATTGGTAAATGTAAAATCAAAATGAGTTTAAAGTCTTTGAATACATTAAAGAAATGGAATGCATTCCCAATAACTTATTTTCTTGAGTAATTGAATATGGTTACAATAATTGAGCTTCTCTTGTATCGGTGGGCCTTTTTTTTAAAAGTTAATTATATTCGCAGTAACTATTTGTACGCAATCTTTATAGTTATTTTCATGGATGGAAAGGTATTTTACATTACGCGGTTCTAGCGGATACTATTTACAAAACTATAAGTTGTTATTGTTGTCTTATTCCCAACTATGAATACATATGAATATACAGTAGAGGGTATATGGAAATCTTATATTTAAAAAATTGCACATAACATATTTTTTTTCTCTTACGAAATATTTAAAATCCTGTACTATCCACATTACCCGCACTTGATGTCTTAGACCTGCAAAACAATTTCCCCATAAGGGACCCAATAATGTATATCCCCCCTAACACTAGGAAGTAGCTACCATAGACCACGTACTGATCTCGAGGGTTCAGAGCGAACCCAACTCTTTCCACCACCGAAATAGTGAGGATGGTCTGAAGCAGCAAACCCACCAACGTATTGATACCGAAGATCAGTCCAAAGCTGTCCTCCACCAGATTCTCGGCCACCACTGCACCCGCCACGGTGATGATGAAGAAGAAAACGGCACAGAAAAGCACATAGTTCACATAGGCCACCCAGATCTCCTGCGTCTTGGCAGCATATATGATCAGGGCTCCCAGGATAGCGGCACATGTGGATATGCCCAACATGTAGGATCCACGTCGCTTATTGGAGTTAAGCAAGCCCGCCAGAATGGCTCCGATAGCTCCTAGCAGAGTAGCCACTGCCTCCACTCCGCCGTTATACACGCTTAAGTGATCTGGGGCCACTTCCTTCCAAAGGAACTGGATGTACGAAATTACCTGTGGGATAGAAATTAATTATTATATTACTGTTACTTGTTTGAAACTATTTCTAGACCAAAATAACTTCTATTACTGTTGGTTAATTTCGTCCGGTTTAAAAAATTATTTCAACATAGTCCTAAATATACCTAAATACCTATATCACAAATTAAACAAGACAAAACGCTATAGTCGATGGCTTCGACTATTAGATATCCGTAACTCAGCTTATGGGAGTGCAAGAGGGATAGAGATATGCTTAAAGTAACTCTATAGCGCCACCTAGCCTATAGAGCTTCTAGCGGATTGGTGGCGTATTAGAGAAAGCAGCTGCTTTGCTGCATTTGGTGTGCAATCTCCATTGATTGTGATTTGGTTATAACTTTTAAATGACTGGTCCGATTTCAATATTACAAAGAACAAAAAATGTACAAAATATTAACCTATTTGGGAGCCAGACGGGTGCTAGTGCTAGAGTCGTTTGTGGGCGTGGCACACTGCTGAAACAAACTTGAGCCGAATATTCTGCATGCCAAGTCCCAACATTCTAGCTCTTATAGTTTCCGAGATCTCTGCGTTTATCGGACAGACGGACATTGCTAGATCGACTCGGCTAGTGATCCTGATGAAGAATATATATACTTATGGGGTCGGAAACGCGTCCTTTTACTTGTTACATACTTTCCGAGGAAACTAGTATACCCTTTTACTTTACGAGTAACGGGTATTAAAATCGTTTTAACATTTTTTATGAAATTCATTTAACCGGTTTTAAATGTAACCGGAGTTCTAATGAGCTTGGAAACTTTAGCTAGTTGAAAATTAAACTTTATCAAATTTTTTAGCATATTTAAAAAAGTGAAATTAATTTATAAGTATACAAATGCGTATTCACACTTTGATATGGGATTTCTAAGGTATCAATAAGGCAAATCCAAAACTACTAAAACACAACTCACTTGAATTTGTCCACAAGTGGCCAGTGCCCACCACAGACTCCACTGCAGCACCACTGGGTTGGAGTAGGAGGAGACGAGGTGGTACCACAGAAGACGGCAGGCATTGGAAAAGGAGAACCTGGCCGCAGTCACCTCGCCACCGGGAGCGGGACTCCCATCCGAAGCCGTGTAGAAGTAGAGACTCCGGGGCACACTTGGTAGGAACAGGGACACCGCCAAGGAGATCACCTGCGTGGTCAGCGATATGTAGTGCAGCTGCCGGTAGTCCATGCTCCCGGTGGACACCAAGATCTGGGCAAACAGGCCGCCCAGGAATTTCCCGCTCAGGATGGCTGCCCTCGTGTGACCAGTGACGGTCTGATACTGCTCCTTGCTGACCTTGGCGTACATGTAGGTGTAGTAGGCCACTTCCGCGGCGGTGAATGTGCCGAAAAACAACTGAGCCACCTGCAACATCCTCAGAGTTTCCGTCCAGATAAGCAGGGAAAAGAGAGTAATCCCCGCCAGCGCCGAAAGCACGATAACCGGTTTGTACCTCACCAGATCCGTGATTAGGAACACAATGACCAGCTGGGCCAGCACCGAGTAGGTTCCAAAGGGGTAGACATCTTGGTTGATCTGTTCCGTCGTCAGGTTCCCGTAGTCCGAAGCCAGATATTCCGCGACGTAGGGCTCCGATGGTCGAAGCTCCCGGAAAAACCCAAACGTGCACAGCAGCAGCGAGATTTTCAGCCAGTTCTGCATGTCGTAAGTTGCGATACCAGGTGGGCTATCGGAATGGGATCTGCTCCGGCGACAGATGTTGCGCCAATTGAATAGTTTCGTAACCAACGCGACGAACGCCAACCGGCAACTGATCGCGCGAATTAAGAGCGGAGTGTCTCCCGGGCGCTCTCGGAAAGCGACTACAGTCATGGCAAGAAGTACCCACACACAACAACCAAAAAACTTAAAGTGGCTGGGCTAACACGGTCCAAAAACCCATTTTGATATTTTAGGAAAATGTAAATGTAATTATAATAAATTTGAAATTATGTTTATATTAATATGCTAAAAGTTACAAGCTTTGAGCATTTTAAAATATGATTTGCCGAAAAAAAATACCTTAAATTTAAGGTACATTTTTTGTTATATTCTGGAAAAAGCTATATAAATTTAAATCACTTTATTCGGCAAATATAATTTATGTGGGTAAAATAAATTCTTTTGAGCAAATTCACATTCTCAAGAATTTTATGGTCACTATTTAAACGCAAATTTCAAATTATAAATGTTTAATATTTAAACTCCGTTAAAAAAATTTTTTCCCATATGTATGTTTTTTTAATGGTATTAACTTTTCAAACATTTATAATTAGAATTTGGCGTTTAGTATCAGTTAGTTAAAAAGTATTTATTTTACCTACTGTGTGATTAATATCGTGTGTTGCCAAATAATTATATGTGTATTTCCATTTGCTTTAGGTCCGACAGTTAATAGATAATACACATAAATTACAATAGACATATCAACACATAGGTATTACTCTTAAAACTAAATTACCCATATGCCAGATATTTTTTGCAACACCTGTTTGACCTTAGAAGACCGTGAAGTATAAATTCTTGGAACGTTCTAATATTTAAATGCAATTTATTTGCAGTTAAGACAATATTTTCAAATTTATGGTTTTCATAAATTCCAAACACAAAGTAACAACAAACTTAAAGTTCCAAATTTTGAGTACGTTAAACATGTTTTACTGTACCCCACAACATTCGCTCGTTTTACTTTTTGTCAAGGTAAGCAAAATCAGTTGCTTCACCTACATAAAACAAATTTCTTAATTCGAGACTGTTCTGCGCTTGTTTCGCATCAATTAAGTGTCAATTGAGTGACGCATTAATTGGAAATTCGTTGAATGCTCAACGTTCAAATGGTTAGCTCTTCATATTCATAAACAAGAGAACTCTTCTCCCGAGTTCGAAAGAGTAAAAGTAGAGCACGAGCTTACTGATAACTCTGCATTTGCCTTCTTATCACTTTAGCCTAATCTATGAACACTAAATTATATTTTCAGTACTGTCTAAACACAATATTAGACAGTATATCTCAAATCGGATTTTTTTTCACAATCATGACTTTGATTTTAGGGCTGCTCCAGTAAATAACTTCAAAGAGGTTATTCGTAGCCAATTCGTTTAATGCAAAATTATGCACAGAATTTATAAATTTACCAATTAGATAAGTACTCTATGAATCTCTCCATAAATCCTTCTTTAAGAATGTTAATTTATAGAAGAAGAATATCTTAAATTTATTTTTGCTTGGTGTTAAGCTTATGCTGTTTCCCATTTCTCATAAAAATCTTCCCGATTCAGTTTAAGATATTATTCATGTAAATTTATGTACAATTGAACGATTAGCTTTAATGATAACAGTGGCGTCAAAATATGGATTTTCCCCGAGATATAATCATCAATTTCATTTGTCCCAGCCCTACTTCCGTTTAAGGTAATCTTCATAGAGTTTTAGAAGTTCTGGGCTGGTCCGTGGAGGCACTGATTCTAATGCGTGTTCAAAGTCTACCCACTTCACCTCCTCTGCATCAAAGCTTTGCTCCAGGGCCCGCAGAGCAGCCTCATGGCACACAGCTTGGATTTCTGCTCCAGAATATCCCTCCGTCATCTGCACCAGCTTCTCCATGTCCACTTCCTCCGATATCGGCATGGCACGCAGTTTGATCTTTAAAATTTCCCGACGTGCTTCACTCTGTGGCAAGCCCACATAAAGAATACGATCGATTCTTCCCGGACGGAGTAGCGCCTTATCAATCATATCCGGTCGATTGGTGGCCGCCAAAATGGTGACGTTTTGCAGGGCCTCCACGCCATCCAATTCGGTGAGCAGTTGGGTGAGAACGCGCTCCTTTACAGATGAGCCGGAGCCGCAACCATCGCCCTCTGCTCGCTCTCCACCAATAGCGTCGATTTCGTCAAAGAAAACTATGGCGGGGGCCACCTGGCGAGCCTTTCGGAAGACCTCACGCACCGCTCGCTCCGATTCGCCCACCCACATGGAGAAAAGCTCAGGTCCTTTGATGGACAGGAAGTTCAGCTTGCTTTCCGTGGCCAGGGCCTTGGCAATCATCGTTTTGGAACAGCCCGGTGGTCCAAACATGAGGATTCCCCTGGGGGGTTTAATGCCCAGCCGTTGGAACTTCTCAGCATGAAGCAGAGGCCACTCTATGGCCTGCTGCATTGCCAATCGGAGTTCCGACTGACCGCCAATGTCTGACCACTGAACATTGGGACACTCTATAAGGACTTCACGCATTGCCGACGGCTTGATGCGAGTCAGGGCAGTCTGTAAATGCATTAACTTGAGGGGATTCGACTGCGCTTGTAGCATGGCAGCGTAGACAAGATTTGCTAAGTCTGCTCCCACGTATCCATGGCTAATAGATGATACATGCTCGACTTCCTCTTCAGTCAACTGGTGCTCCAACGATTGTATTAGGCACCTTATAATGTCTCTCCTTGCCTGTGAACTGGGAGCACCTAACTCAATTTCACTGTCCAATCGACCAGCTCTCCGAATGCTTGGATGAAGAGCCTCAATCTGGGAACTGGTGGCTAGCACGAAGGTCTTGCTTCCCTTTAGCTGACTGGGCGAGCTCAACTGATCCAACAGAGAAAGAAAAGCCAACGAGACGCGCTTGACTAGATCGCTGCCGTCCTGCTTGGGACACAAGTTGTGGACATCCTCAATCAGCACCAGAGTTGGGTGCGGGAAGTGATTGTAGGCACGCTCGAAAATGGCCGCCAGCTTTTGTTCCGTTTCGCCCAAGAATTTGCTGTAGACTTCGCCACTGTTGATGCGGATCAGTTGGACATGTCCTTGGCTGCGCTCTTCTGCCACTGCAGACATCGCTTCTAAAACCATTGACTTTCCGCAGCCAGTGGCGCCGTAAAGGAGAAATCCGCGAGATACCCGGAGGCCTAGAAGATGATGACATTAAAAAAGCTGAAAGTAATGCTTGGGTTAAACTCACTTGCAGGCAATGCCCGGAATCCCAAGGCGTAGTCCATGCTCTCCTCGACCATCTGCAATTGCCTATCAAGTCCTCCTATTTGGGATTTGGTTATCCGATGGCTAATCTTTTGCTCCTCCTGCTGCTGGCCTGAATTTTCAGCTATTAACTGGAGTTTTGTGACGTTGGTAACCTGCACAAATTGCAATGGCTTGGAGTCCAAACTGAGACCAGCTAGAGCGTCTTCAACGGTGCCCTGCCACCGCTCCAGGCGAAAAGTAAGCGATTTGTTGAAGAAGTTCATGTGGATTTGACTGTCCTTGCAGAATACCCTATTCACCATGTCTCTTTTAAGAAGGGCTATTGCATCCTGGAGCTGCCCGGATTTTAGAGGGCTCTCTGTGGGGTTCAGATGTTTTAGGGAAATGCTGGCAGCCGCTGTGAGGCGACAGGGGTCCAAAGCAGAGATCTTCAGGAACTTTCCCCGCAGCTGCGTGCAATGGTGTTTGAAGTCTGGGGAAGATCATATTGATTAATCCTGAGATTCTCATAACACTTGGTGCAACTTACCCCCTTCGCTCACAAATACTGTGGTCAGGAATTGCTCTGATATGGGCCATAAAATCCTCACCAGTGGCTGCTCCGCAGTCGAAGGAGCTTCCACCACCACATGTTGGCCAATGTGGAACTGGGCTAATTGCATTGCTCCCTCGGAGGCGAAGATCAGCATGTTTGCATACTTGGCAGCTAAATCCTTCAAAGAATCCACCTCGAAGTTCCGCTGCTGGAGGCTTCTCGTATAGATCGCCCCACTGCGCACGTATTCCGCCTCTGAATCGGGAGCCACCTCGTCCTGGCTGATGGTGGAGCAGGAACCCTCATGGCTATCCCTCGCCTTGGAGGGAATGTGGACGCCGCAGGACTCGCAGTGGTACCAACTGGCCTGGTTTTTCTTGCTGCTCGACTTTGGCGGCATTGCTTCGCCCGGCTGCACGTTTTGTTTTCATTCTTGGTGGGGGCGTCCATTGTGAATGGCAAGTGGTGGTCGGCTCTGCCAGGCCCAGGGCAAAAATAGCTAGGTCAAATTATAGCTAGACAATCATACTAGCTTGATAGAAAAATTGTCATTTTTTATAAGTTAAACAAAATATTAAGTTACCGAAAAATAGTTTAACATTATTCAAAAATGTAACTTTTATTTTTTTTTTTAATAATTATAAAATTATTTATTTAGCCCATAATATCATATTCTGCAGATGGTAGAATGATAAACCTCTCTCAATACAAATTCCTACTTTCTTTGGTTGCAAGAGATTCTTGTTCAATCCCAAAAGATAGAGAAAAGAACACTTCATATTTTGTAACACATGGCAACACAGAAAATAAAAATTAATTGCGTCAATCGCTGTAATAACCCAACTCGAGATAAGCTAGAGGGACCCCAAATTGTTTTTGACTAGTTTTAGATTTTGAAATCAAACACTTGAAAACCGTAAAAATGTTGACCAGTGTTAGTCTTTTATTTAATTTTTTTTTTCCTAATAATGAATGCTTTGAAATAAAAAATGTAAAACAAACAAAAATAGCTGAATTTACTAAGCTCAATTCCCATCACTACCAGTGTTGGTGAATTCGGTATTTTCCCGCAGCCCACATGCAGCCACTCCCGCGATTCATTGTTGGCCTGTGACTCAGACTTCCAAGTGCGAAAAGGTGGACAGCAGGAGCGGATCACAGAGCGGATTAGCCATGAACAGCGACGGCGAAGCCTCATCACTGCAGATGCCCCAGATGACGGTTGGGGGCATCCTCCCGGGGGAAGCCAACCAATCGCCGGGCCCCGCCCCCCTTTCAGTGGCGGAGGCGGTGTCCAACACGGACTTCTACATCGGCGTAGGCCTGGCCATCTCCTCCTGCTTCTTCATCGGCTCCAGCTTCATCATCAAGAAGAAGGCCCTCATCCGGCTGAGCAGATACGGCGAGGTTCGAGCTTCAGCCGGAGGATTCGGGTACCTAAGGGAGTGGATCTGGTGGGCGGGTCTTCTAACGAGTGAGTGAAAAAGAAGACAAATAACTTGGTCCGGGGAATACCCTTGCAGTTTGATAACTTTAAAGACCCTTATATGATCCAGTTTATTCTTTAAAACATCTCAATGAATCTGAAGTCTACGAGTACGAAATCAATTATTTTTTATACTGAAAAAGTCAGAAGTATCAATCATTTATCTATTTCTTGATCTTGACCCTGTTACAACGACAATCGTTCGAAGTTTTAAATATTTATTCAAACCAGATTGTAAAGTATACCCCTTCAGCTGTTCCAATATTCCGTTCCTGCTATGTGTCATTAAATTATCTCCAAAGTACGAAAAATAATCTCATTAGGACTGATCGTTTTTAGAACTTATGAGATATGCATATAGAAGTCCGATTGTAGTAGTTCCCATTTATTTACGCCGCACAGCACAAATTGGAATATTTGTAAACATTCAAAGATCTTAAAAACAGGAATATGGGAACTACTTATAAACATATGAGTTTGCTTATTTTATGGATAGGGTCGAAATTGTTTTCCAAACATTTTCCCAAAACTTAAATACCGCCTGCAAGGGTACGTTGTCACACAAACAAAACCCCTTATCTAACTGACTCACTGTTTCTGTTTTCTTTACAGTGGGTGTGGGAGAAGCGGCCAACTTTGCGGCCTATGCCTTCGCCCCCGCTTCTTTGGTAACCCCACTGGGTGCCCTTAGTGTGATCATTTCCGCCGTGATGGCCTCCAGATTCCTCAACGAGAAGCTGAACCTGCTGGGGAAGATAGGCTGCTTCCTGTGCATACTGGGATCCACGATCATTGTGATTCACTCCCCCAAAGAGAAAGAGGTCGAGGATCTGCAACTTCTATTTGACATGCTACTGGACCCCGTGTTCATCCTATATGTGATTTGCATCATTGGCTCAACGGTGTTTGTGGCCTGCTTTATTGCCCCGCGCCATGGACACACCAATGTGGTGGTTTATATCTTCTTGTGTTCCGGGATTGGGTCCCTGACTGTGATGTCCTGCAAGGCTTTGGGTCTGGCCATCCGGCAGACTCTGAATAATGGAGGGAATGTATTCCTCACCTGGATGCCCTGGTTCCTGATCCTGGTCACCGTCACATTCATAGCCATCCAGATGAACTACCTGAACAAGGCGCTGGATATATTCAACACAAGTATAGTGACACCAGTTTACTATGTGATGTTCACCACCCTGGTGATAGCAGCATCTGCCATCCTGTTCAAGGAGTTCACCCACATGCGATTCGACGATATCCTAGGCGATGTTTGCGGCTTCCTTATCGTAATCACAGCTGTCTTTCTGCTCAACGCCTTCAGGGATATTGATATATCGCTGAACGATGTGAGGGGTCTGATGCGACCGAAAATGCAGCGGGTGTCGCAGTTCGACGAGGAAGTGCTGGTCACCAGCAACTCCAAGGAACGACGCCTGTCCTACGGATCGGGGGACATGTTCCGGAAGGCCTGACACAAGCAACGCTACCAGGTTTAGTTGCATCCCCTGCAGCGCACGGCCTGAAAACAGGGGTTTACTCCGCAGACGAAGCATTGGTCCAAATATCTGTGCATATCACTTGCAATCACACATCCCATCCCCATCTATTGTTCCTTCGACCTTGTTATCCAACATTCGCTAGCATAAGAACTTAGGTTTAGGTTGAAATTATATTAAAAACGATTTACTTAAACAAGAACAATTTTCAAGTGACATTTTATTTTAAAATATTTTAAAAATGGTTTCCATAGCGAATTTCCGTCTCCTTTATAAAACGCATAAATGAAGATAAGTCAGTTCTAGAGATCATGCAAATTCATAGGTATTTCCTTTGAATTGCTTTTATCTATTATATGTTTTAGATATTTCAATGCGTACTCGAAAAATCTAAAATAGTTTTAATTTCATAAACCTAAGTAAAACCAGATTGGTTTTTACAGGCTAGCTTCGTATTGCTGGCGACGTCTTTCTTTTTGGGAGGATCGCTGGTTCCTCCTCTTTCCCTTGCCTTTGTCCAAGTTAACTGGGGCCGCCTTGATATAACTAAATAAGGTATCAGCCGATTCCCGTTCAATCTCCTTGTTCGATTTCTTCGGTGTTTTGCCCTTGGGGGAATTTCCAGGGCCGTATAGCAAGATGCAGTTGCTCAGACTTTCGGCTGTGTGAAAAGAATCATCCGTTGAATCTTTGGACTCGTCCGCTGGCGGAAAATCCATCGGTTTACGCGTTTTACGTGGCGTAAAGAATTCGGGGTCCTTGTTGAGGGGTAGTCGCCCACTTTCGTCTTGCATCGTGATCTGCGGAAGAGCGGGTAGTAAGTCCTGGCCCATAGACTGCATCCCAAAGTTGCGCATCATGGCCACCGCCTCCATCTCCGCCGTTGAAGTGTCCTCCCAATCCTCCATAGTGGCGTGCTCGCCCAGTGGCTTCGTGCCCGCTATTTTCTGGATTTTCTCCATCATTTGGAGGCAGTCGCGGATTTCCCTTCCCTTTCCGCCCGACGATCCATACCCATGCAAATCTCCCCGGTCCGCAAGATGTTCGCCAATACTCTTGGGGACTGGCACTCTTGAGAGCTCCAGTTTCTTCTTTTCCTCGTAGGCGATTTGCCCCTGGATCAGGTTAAATCCAGGCTCCATGCTCACTAGGTCGAGCTCGAATTGCGTCTTGGGAACCCAGGCCATGACTTGAAGTTTTCAATTGGTTTAAAATTTTATGGTTTTTGGTACTGTAATCGTTCCTTTTTTAAGTCAAGTCGTAATTTACTCGAGTAGCCCTTTCAACAAATTTCCAAGAACTACCCAAATTTAAAAAATGTATTTCTATCGATAGCGATAACCAAAACAGGTCGCTTCCAGGTGAATTGCAGAGTTACCGATTGGCCATCGGCAAACAAAAGAATAAACAGTTACTTAATTAATCTGATTGGGATAGTCTAAGCAATAAAGATGAGCTTAGTGCGCTTCAGAGTGTTGCGTAATCTAAATCGCAGTGCCCTAGCTGGGTTTTGGAAAGATTTGCCCCGAGCAACCGCTGTGAATGGCAATTCTTCAGCTGTCAACTTTCCGGCCGCCATTAGAACGCTGAAAACACTTAACAACGGACACCGACTTCTAACCAAAGAACCACTCTCTGCATTTACCCCATCTCAACGGCTGTATTCCTGTGAAAATCTTGGTAAAACCATGGAGGAGAACTGCGTTGTTCCGGACGTGATTGCCAAGGCCCCGGCGCAGACCGCCGTGGTGGAATATCCCTGCGATATTGTGGTGAAGCCGGGTCAGGTCCTGACCCCCACCCAGGTGAAGGATGAGCCGTGCGTCAAGTGGGAGGCGGATGCCAACAAGCTCTACACGCTCTGCATGACCGATCCGGATGCCCCAAGTCGGAAGGATCCCAAGTTCCGGGAGTGGCACCACTGGCTGGTGGGTAACATTCCCGGCGGCGATGTCGCCAAGGGCGAGGTCCTGTCCGCCTACGTGGGATCGGGTCCTCCTCCGGACACCGGACTCCATCGCTACGTATTCCTCATCTACGAGCAGAAGTGCAAGCTCACCTTCGACGAGAAGAGGCTGCCCAACAACAGCGGAGATGGACGAGGCGGCTTCAAGATCGCCGATTTCGCGAGGAAGTACGCTCTGGGCGATCCCGTTGCCGGAAATCTTTACCAGGCTGAGTACGATGATTATGTGCCCATACTCTACAAGCAGCTGGGTGCCTAATTGCCATACCATATACATCATGCTTATATAAGGCCAGTTGGAATTGGATTCTTAATTTGCAAATCTATTGTAACCTAAAGCCTGATCAAAAGACACTATCGAACACATTGTAAAACATTGTTGCTGGCAATAAAATTGTTTAAACTATCGACTGCATAAGCGGCTTAATTTATTTTATCAAATCACAAGGCTTTGCCTTAAATCTCGATAACAGATATTACTCCGGCATTTTATACATACATTACTTCCCGGTAATTATCTATATTGTCTAATATTCAATAGAATTGCTGCTAGGCCCTAAGTTGGCCAACAAATTCAGTGGTTTATTATAGAAGCGATAAATGGTTAACTCGGAGAGTTTGAGAAAAATTGTGTAATCCCTATACAAGAAAATTCAGTTTGGGCCGGGTATTTATTCTTTATTAATTCCAATTACAAGCTACTTCTATATAATTCAAATTTTTCTAATGTCATATACAATTTTAAGAGCTCGAGGTTAAATCTTACCAAAAATGAGTACACAGTGTTGTTTTGGAGATACTTGACGTAGTTACTATTGACTTCCTAGTAGGAAGAAAATGTCTGATCAATGTTATTTTGTTTTCCCCAGAGCGCAAGATGCACGCATCCAGGTTAGTTCTTTATTTGCTTAAGCATTCTGATCTAGTAACAGAATACTTTACATAGTCAGGATGATTCTTTATAATGTGTGCAATAAATGTTTTTAGTACAACTAGATTTTCGTATATATAGTCCATAAAATAATCCTGAAGAAGATCCTACTTTCCGTTAGGGTATGGGATTTGAGTAGGTTTGGATGTTAAGAAGAGAAAGGTCGTGTGCCTAATCCACAGTCGGAAAGACACTGCGGTGTTCTTTCCATTCGGTTTCACTGATTGCCTGTAAGAAAAACATACACAATAAGTGAAAATGTAGGGAACGTAATATTATCCTTACTTACCACTAGCTCGTCGAAGGCCTGCTTGGCCAGCCAGTGGAAGCAAGGACTCTTCCACTCGCGGGCAATGGCCTGCTGATCCTTGACGTCCTCCTCGGCGGTGGACTTGGAATTGGTGATGACCTTATACTTGGCCCACAGGTAAACCATGCTTTGCATCTTAAATACCCAGAGATCGTTGGGTACGCCTCGAATGATGTCCTGAATCTCCACCATGTTCAGCTCCGTAAGGTTATCCAAGAAGGTGCGGTTCATCATCGTGAATATAGTCTTTAGAGTGTCGTACGGCACATCCGCGTTCTTCTCTAGTCCGAAGTGAGCCGACTTAATAATAGCGTAAACCACCTGCTCTGTAGTAAGCTTGGGCAGATTGGGCAGGAAGCAATGCTCCAGATTGAGGTTGCCGCACTCCAAAAGCTGCTGCTCGATCTGCTCGCCTACGTTCTTGTAGTCCTTCCACCAGTTGCCCCAGTCCTTGTACTTCTTCGACTCGTGCAGCGGGGCCCACTCGGACCTTATTCGCTTCCTATTGCGCTTTGCGATCTTGCGAGCCGACTTGGCATCATCGGCCACCGACTCGTCCTCCGAATCCTCATTGAGAACCACTGCCGCCTCCAAGAAGTCCTCCTCTGTGGCGTCCTGGTTTGTACTGTAATTGAAGATTTGTTCGAAGAAGGACAAGGCATAAGAATCTGCCTCCGGTTGGGGAAGCTTCTTCGGCTGGTCGTTGAGATACGGGATTTTAAACCCGCCCATCAGGAATCCGCGCTTGCGGGCCACTCTTCGCCACTTTTTCACCGACTTGGAGGCAGCCTCAGTTTCCAGCGGTGGAGCGGGAGCAACGCGCTTCTGGCCTGCAATATATAAAACATAATAATTTTAGACATTATGAGCAGTTAAAACTCATTGTAAGACCTACATATCTATGGACTATTGGAGATGTTTGTTTAAGCGAATAATTCATAAAAACGAATGCAGGGCTTCAGTTGTAAAAACTTACCGGCTTGGACAGGAAATCCTGGAGCATTTGGAGTCCTATTAGCCACTCCGACTGGTTTGCCCGCCTGTGGGACTCCTTTCACTATCTGCTGTCCACTCTTAACTGGCACAGGCCCCGATTTCTGAGTCTGTGGGCCAGATTTCACTGTTTGCGGCCCTGTCTTGGCTACCTGTGGTCCACTCCTCACACCAACGACTCCTCCCTTCGCGGCCTGTCCAGCCACTGGTGGTTTCCTGTTGGCTACTACTGCCGTATTCGGCTTGGGAGCTAAATGGTTGACCTTATACTGATTGGGTGCCGCATTGGGCGGTTTCTTCTGCACTCCAACGACATTGCCAGGACGCGGATTGCCAGGCCTGTTTGCCTGGACGTTCCTGTTGTTGGGCACGTTGGTCCTGCCTGCTGCGTTGACGATGGCAGCAGCCGCCCTGGGATTGTTGCGCAAGTTCTGAACCGCTTTGACGGCAGGCTGGGGTCCAGATTTTCGAACAGATCCGCCATTATTTAAGTTCACCTTTTGCAATTGATTGCGCTTTGAGTTGAAGGCACGCTGGCTGGCTTCCCAACCAGAGCTATTGGCTCCTCCTCCTCCTCCTCCACCTCCGCTGTTCGACTGATAGCCAGAGCTCTGGAACGAAGAGGATTGCGACTGCGAGTTGTTCCAGTTGTTGCGAGAGTCGTTAAAGGTGCGACTGATGTTGTTGCTGAAGCCACCTCCGGAGTTGTTGCTGGGGAAGTTGCCACCAGAATTTGGGTTGAAGCCGCCTCCGGGGTTGTTGTTGGTGATATTGCCACCAGTATTTGGGTTGAAGCCTTGGCCTCCAGGTCCTCCGACTCCTGGCCTGCGATTATATATGTTTCCTATGTCATCGTTGTTACCAAAGTTTCCAGAATTGGACGGAAAATTGCCTTGGTTTCCACCGCGTGCGTAGGAATCATTGAATCCAGATCCCTGGTCATTGAAGTTGGGACCTCTTCCTTGAAAATTGTCATTGCTGAAGTTCCCAGAGTTGCGTTGATTAATTCCTCCGAAGGAAGGTCCATTGTTTCCTGCATAAGAAGGTCCTCCACTGCCTCCAAAGGCAGGGCCATTATTTCCATCAAAAGAGGCTCCATTATTGCCGCCAAAAGAAGGCCCATCGTTGGGACCAAAGTTACTGAAAGAACCCTGATTTCTTGGCTCGCCGTTGAAGTATCCATCTCCGTTTCCCTGCGACTGCGGACCACGGTAGTTGATCTCCGGATTACGGTCCGAGTTGAAGTTAGCAGAAATTCCGGGGATGCGGTTCTGCGATGCCTCCAGATCCAACAAACGGGCTATGTTGCCTACATTGGAAGGGCCTCTGTTCATTTGACCAAAGTTGGACGACGGACCACCCCGGAAACTGTCCTGAATATCATCGACGGAGTTGCCACCGAAACGCTGATTGTTTGGATTAAAACCGGACCGATCGTCTGCGGGGCGCGGGAAGTTGTTGTTGCCGCCACTGCTGTTGTTGTAGCCACCGCGGTTGAAGTTTCCGCCATCCGAAGCCGTGTTCCGGTTGCCGCCGTAACCACCGCCACCTGGGTTTCCACCTCCTCCGCCATAGTTGCCGCCACCGCCGAAGTTTGAGGAATACATCCCAACTCCGCCTCCACCACCACCGCCTCCTCCGCCGGAGTTCCCCACTCCACGCCGCTGGCCAATGCCGTAAGCGTCGTTCTTCAGTTGGCGGTAGTCCATCCCGACTCGTGCTGATACGGAGTTACCTTGTCGCTGGGTCTTGTTCTTTATCAACTTTACACGCTTCTCGACGCTCTTTTCAACTTAATTATTGCGGCCTAAAAAATGCTTTCCTTTCCCCAATTTTTTTCAGTCAACCAGGGTTGCAACACACGCCGGCTACACAAAATGGTAATAGGTCCGATATATGAAGCTGGTAGTTTTTCGTTCGACAAAATACTGACATCATTGAAAAATACCGTTACCAAATTGATTCATGTAGCATTTTATTTATGTAATATAATTTTTATTGTTTATTAATAAGCTTACTTAAATTGTGCTTCCTATTGGTTCAAGCTAAATTTATTACACATTGCAATAAAAGCTTTGTTTACACTATGGTGGAGCTATGGGTTTTTGCGCATTTATTACATAGGGTTTCCACGGGGAAGTCTTCAGTATTTCATCGGTATTTGTTGGTATATGTCTTATTTTTTGCCAATCGTCGACGACAAGTCACTATACAATCAACGTAGACTAAAAAAAGACACGAATATAAAAATAATTTGTATCAGTTTTCGTTTTAATTAACAGTATGTCAACAAAGTGTTTTCACCAAGGAATTAAACCAGAACCAGAACTGGTTCCAAAACCGGTACAAGAATTGAAATACGAATTCTGTGGTGGTCCCCTATACCGATTCGTTTTGTACCAGTACGGCTTAGCTATAAATATGTTATTGTTGAATGAATAACTAAAAATTTAACAAAAATTTTAATAATTATCACAGTTATGTTTACACTTACATCACAGTACTCAGATCGGCTAAGATTTTCACTAGTCGAAAAATCTAATTCTTTGTAGTGTGACCGAAGCTTTCGAAGTTCACCCGCAATGCATGTGGCATGGTCTTACTGTCAAGCGGATTGTTGTTGCCAAATGGAAAACAAATTAATTTAAAAAAGAAAAGTCTGCTGGTGCAGAAAGAAATTAAAATACAAATAATGAAATGTCAACGAATGTTTTCATTTATGTAAATTATAAGTTTAAGGCTTCCTTCTCGTCCCACGGATGCTTCGCCATTTTTCCCGCGCCATCTGTAGTCCAGCTCCGAGTCCCAATAGGCTAGCCAATAATGGCTGGTGATGGCTCCTCCAGCTGTCCCTTAGCGGGCGACCTTATTTTCTCCTCCCTATAGAAGCCGGCGCGTCCTCCATCTCCGCATTAGCTGCCAAGTAGCTGGTGAAGGTGGAGACCTCATTGGAGAGCTCGTCGGAGATCGACCGATGTCCCATGTTCCCTCTTACTGAGATTCGCTAGTGGATCTCCTCCAGCACTTCAATTATTCTGCGGATTTGCCCCTGATTTTGCACAAGAATGGGCCACAGCTTGGATTATGCGTCCTTTTTCATCTGCACTGACCTCTTTTAGCCGTTTTTTGTGTTTTCCTTCCATTTTTAATTTTTAAACTCCACACCGGTTTTGCACGAACACCG